AAATCATCAGATAGAAGGTTTGAATTTGGACACAGTGGGGTGTTTCACCAAGACAATGAAATCAAACACACATAAACAGTGGTAATGAAATGGCTAGCTAAATCAGATGAGAATTAAGGTTTTAGACTGGTTTCTCTAAAGTCCTGACTTAAACCTCATCGAGAATCTGTGGACTGTGATGAAGAAACAAATCTATGTCAAAAAGCCAACACATTTATTTGACCTGCACCAATTCAGTCAAGAGAAGTCGTCAAAAATACAGTTAAAGCGACAATGGCCACATGACGTTTAATCAGACATTAGAATTACTGTATGTACATTTTTGACCCAGCAAACATTCTCATATTTCCAGAAGACCTGTAATAAATCTTTGAAAGAACCATAGTGAATGACTGTTTCAGGAAAAACAGACAAATATGTTTCAATGACTTCATCATGGAACATTAAGATTTACAGGATACATTGAAATCTCAGGACTGTCATGATATACACGGTGGTGGCAATGGTTTTGTAATAGAATCATTTTCATTTTATTTGATCAAAAATGGAGTGTTATCACTATTTTTGTAAAATTACACAAAACAGATCTTAGTTTTCCTCCTGTAAACCGAGGTGAATGTTGCACTGCTGTCCCACTTTGCTGTGCTGCAGTATTTCAGAGGCCATTTTTACCTGTAAGTTCATCTGCATCTGCGTTGTTCAACTCAGGTTTAAGCTTAGTCCAAATACTGGCGTTCTGCTGCTTTTGGATATAAGTGGAGATGTTTCACGACATGGTAAGCCATGCGTGTCAAACTTAAATATACAGTGGGCCAAAATAAAAAACTGGGACGAAGTCACGGGTCAGACTCGGTATTAATTGAAAACTTGACTGCAGTTGTGCATGTTTTCCTTTCTCTCCAGATATATAATGATAAACTTTTCATATGGAAACAAACTTAAGTTTTGAATAAACTTGGAATCTGGAACAAGCAAAGCTTAATATTCTGAACACATGAGAAATCAAATTTCGAACAAAAGATACATCAGTGGAATTCGTTTCTTATTTTTATTTAAATGAATAAGCTCCTGTTTTCCGTCCTTGGTTTGGCCATTTTTGTGAGGGGTGGCTTCCATCTGACTGATAGCGTGAGGTTGCTAACGAATGTCAACAGAAGGGGAAGGGGATGCACTAGCAGAGCATTCTGGGATGTATAGTATTCGCGATATCAGTTCTAACATACATTTGGTATTATATCGTGGTCCAAATATGGTTACACTGTTGGCCAGATTTGGCTCTTGGGCCTGAGTTTGACACAGTTTGACATGTGTTAAGTGAACAAATGAATGAAAGATAAATTAAATGAATAAATTAGTGAATGTAAGGAATTACCGCAACGCTTCCATGACCCTCAAGCTCCAAGCTCCTTGAAGCTCCTTGTTGAAACACAGAATTTATCATATCATATATCAAATCATATGAAGACTGTCTATAAGTCTTGCTGCTGGATCACCATGTGCTACATAATGCTGCTCTAATTTGAGAACATGTGAAACAGGACATGTTGCTGAATAAAACATGGCTTCTGATATGTACAAAGTGCAGGTGAGTAAATCTGTCTGTTTGAGTAAAGATGCTTCATGGAAGATAAAATGAATGTCATCAAAAATACAGAAGCAGTCAGATTGTGTTGTATTATTACTGGAGACAGACTGCACTAAACAACTCGGCTAAAATAAGCTGCTGACATGATGGCTGCCTCAACTGAAAAGTCCGAGAAACCTCCAAACTTATTCTGGTTTAATCTGACCACCGGAAGTGACTTTAATCAGCCCAACAGTCTAAAAACTAATGATATCAGCCGGCTGGTGGAAGGAGAGAAAAAGTCCAGACATAAATTAAGAGGCTGGGATTCATTCTCTCTGGTTCATTAATGTCTGAACTAAACTTCATGGCAATGTGAAAAACTACAGACCACACTGTATTGATATTTGTTCTTCACATAACTTACCTTTGGATGCTGAGCTGGTCTCTGGCAGCTTCTTCACCAGATCTGTCCTGTTCATGTACTTTGAAACCTTCCTGGTCACCTCCACAGACTGTTGACTGAATGCCATCATCATCAGATCCACTATTTCTGTCCTGGTTGCACTTTGAATTGGGTTATCTAGGAATTGTGGAAAAGTCTTCTTGAAGGTTGTCAGCGGCAGGAACAATCTGAATTTAATCAGATTTGTGTTACTCAAACACTTCAGTGTTTCCAAAAGCAGCTCCTTAACAGCTGTCATGGTTGACACCTGGAAAATTTAAAGCAAAATTCAGAGAAATTATGTTAATTCTTCACCGAGAAAATGTAAACATTTATCTGTTGCATCTTGTCAAGGCTGATACATTTGGCAATTATCTATTTGTAGAGCAGAAATGATTTATGTTCATTCTGTCTGTAAATTTATGCTTAATGTTTTTAATTTGTTTTTTTATTCAGGTTGTAATTGTTTCATTGAGCTGCCAAAAACCAAAGTAAGCCTCCTGATATAAGCACATCTTGACAATGCACTGACTATTATTTCTTTAAGGTTTAATAAATGCTCAAACTAAACTCAGCCTCAGTTCTGTGACAAACATCTCATCTAAATTAGGACTTTAACTCATCCTCACTACTCTTCATATGATTCTCAGCCTGTGTGTTGTTGAATAAAAGCTGGTCTGCAGGTCAGACAGATGTGTCGCTGCTCACTTTGTGGATCAGTGCAGACAGATGTTCATCCAGCTGTTTCTCTGACAAAAAGATAGAAAAATACAAAATTACACCTGAACCTTGACAACAGTGACATACTTTCATTTACATTTCAATACATTTTATTCACCAGATCATGTGTCATCTGTTCTCCACATCATGAATCTTACTTGTCAGAATGGAAACTGAAGTAGACATAACTTATGAGACACATTTGAGGAAACACTTTTGTGATATTAACATGTTTTGTGTCTTCTTACTTTTGAATCCTGAGCTGCTGTCTGACAGCCTCTGCACCAGATCCGTCCTCTTCATCTCCTCTAAAGCCTCCTTGGTCTCAGCACTGACTATTGGCCTAAAGTCTGTACTGTTAAAACACTGTGTCCTGGTGGTCTGTTGTCTCCAGCCACATTAATTTCATGTATAAGTGAGGCGAGGACCCTCCTGTACTCCTCGTCACTCAGTGTTTCCAAAAGCATCTCAATAACAAACGCCATCGTTTCCACCTGGTGAATTCAAAGGAAACGATCATGTGTAGAAAGTCAAGCTTCTCAGCTGGGACAGTTACAGATGTTTCTGTTCAGATCCCATCAGTGTTGCAGAAATGTAAATGTGTTTAGATCATATCAGCTGGAGAACAAAAGTTAATGATACAGAAAACACTTTACAGGAAACCTGTATGTGTGTGAGTTTCTTCTATAACAACAAGGTTTCTTACACTAGTTCACTGTTTCTGTAACTTTTTATTTTTTATTTTTTTAAAAACTGGGCGGCAGAATTTAAAGAGCCTCCTGATTTTACAACAGACAGAATGTTAACTAATTCAGTCTTTTCTTTTCTTTTTTTTTTTTTTTATCAAAAAAACCCAAACATTTATTTTAATCTGCTTTGAAAATCTTCTCAATTTCTTTCTCTATCAAACTTAGTAATGTGAAGGAAAAATTACTTTCCTTATTTAGAGTTAATCTTTTAGAGAAGATATTGAACCCTGATTGACCTCCTAGGTAAATGTAGTACTTGTAGATGTGCTCTCTGAACTTCTATAGATTCTTGACCTCACATAAACCTCATTGAAGGAGGACAGGTATGACAGCCTGCACCTCTCAAGGCCAGATGATGCCCAGGCGCTGACTTATCTTTGTTTCCCTTTCTGCAATAAATCTGGATGTGACTCCCACTGAAGGAGGATATAAGACTAAAGATGTGAGAGGAATCTTTGGAGTTGATGCTGGCATTACATGCATGAACTGCTGTTCTGTTAGTGTCACTTCTCCTGATGCATTAGTAAACCTTATTTCAACCCAAGTCATCTGAGTCTCCGGTGTGTCTCTCTGTGTCGGGCTCCTCATCCTACATCAACCTCTTCCAGAATTTCTGAAACAAGTAATGTGGACAAGTCAAGAGGTGGACATAACACAACTTGTTACAGATGGAGGTTGATTTTAACATTAATGTTTCATACCAATCATGCTTCATGTGTTCAAGACGTATATTGACTTTGTTCTTCGACAGAACAATGTGAGGAAAATTAGGAATTTTATTGGTATTTCTTCTGTTTAAGGTCAACATGATTGTCAGTCGTCATCTCCTCAATCAAATGTGTGCTGTGTGAAGTCGACTGATGTGACGTTACTCACTCTCTGGTCCAGTGAAGGCCACAGTTCCTCTGAGGAGAAAGGAAACAGAAAAACATCGGTTACAAGTTATTTTAGCATCAGGCTTCATGAGGATTTACAATTCACAAGATTTCACCCAAAAATTAGGCTTAAAACTTACTAATAGAGACATAATTATAATACATAGAGCTGTTGAAAGATTTTCCAACCGTGCTGAATGGTATCGAATGTATTTGATTGCAATATGATGTAGGATGTGGACAGACACAGATGCCCAAAAGGATTCGAAAAACTTCATTTGAACTTTCCAGCCATAAAAAAGACAGAACTGTCCTGCAGGTCACAGGGCCATGTAAATCAGCCTTGCAGACTCGGAGGAGTGAGGAAGCAGAGTCCCTTTTGGGAATTTCCTTATCACACCTATCAGAGGATCTAAGAAAGAATTTCTTTGGGGGAAGACAAAGAAAAACATTCAAGACCACTCAGACCTTAATAAATGGTCCAGATGGCCAGGTGCAATGAAGTGCCCCGGGCTTAACGTATTGCTCTGCTGACCCCTCATTTCCTGTGGCATGCAACAACTTAACAACTGAAGTCATTGATGAACAATAAGACACAGCACCAGAAGATGTGCCTTATTATCTTGTGTTAAGTTTAATCGTTAAATGTTATGATATATCATATCCTGATAAATACTCCAAAGCTTAATTACAGTTGGATAAGTCCTTCTTTAATTGATCGGCTTGTTATATTACCATATCCTAAGCATTGTGTTATCTCTGTAACCGTACAAGATAGCTCAGTCATGTTTAGACTCCCCGTGAAGCTCTACATGTGACACATTCATTTCCAACAACTTAACTTTGTATAATTGAAAGTACATATAGTTCTGAAGGAACATTGTTACTTTCAGAGCAAAACTCATGACCACCTCATGACCTCCCGGTGATACTGGGGTGTCATATCTAACAGCCCCCCTGGGAGTGGAGCTCGCTCTGATTGGTCAAGTAGTTTTACTATTTATTAAAGTCTCCTCACCCGAAAAGCAGGCTCTTTCCATTGCTCGCTCTTCTTTCTCATCTTGCATTCTACGGCATTCTCTAGTTGGCTCCTCCTGATGACTGGCACACCTCCATGCTCTCCAGTGAGTGACTTGAATTTGTCAAAGTCTTCGGGACTCAACTGGTTCAGTGTTTCCACAAGCAGCTTCTTCGTCGTCATTGTTTTACCTGATTAATTAAGAGAATATGTCAAACAGTACCTGCAGGATGGGACATATGCTGTTTCTGTGCTCTAACAGCATGATTGGAAACATTTCATTAATTCCAGCTTTACTGGCATGTGTTTCTGAGTCTTTAGCACAAGGAATACACACTGTCACTGTATTAAACATAACATTTGTTCTGTGACAGGTCAACTTGAAAAAATTAGTGAATAAACATAACAGACGAAGGCCACTGAATGTTTTAAAAATAATGTGAATCAGAGGCCACTTTGAAATGCAAACATTGTTCTTCACCACCAATAAAACACAGATTAGGGGAATGTCATTCCAGACAATCATCTTTCAATTTGAGGGATTGCATTGCTCCCTGCAGAGTCCTACATTTCATTAATGGCACCAAGTGGCACTGCTTTGTGTTCAAGAGAGACCCAGCTAAAGGAAGCAATTTGGATTTACCTACAAACTGTGCATAAAAAAATAGATGCAGCCTCTGAGTTTGAAAAGTGAAGCCTTAAACCTGATTCTTTCTAACAGCCAGAAGGGGGCGATTCCTCTGACTGTGAATAAAAGTCTATTAGAAAATGTTTCTACTTCTGTCTTGATCTGTTACTTCAGCTAACATTTTCATCATGAGTTTATGGCCTCGATTGCTACTTTTAAGTCCCCTTCAGTGCAATATGGTGTTCCATTACATAAATGATGTCCCCTTAAGAGGAAAATAAATGATAAAGCAGGGTATACTTCAGGGCCATGCTCCCTTGTAGCTGCCACATTCTTGCTAATGTACAAATATGCATCAAAGTAAGACATAAAATAATTTAAATTCAAAGCACCTCCAAGAGACAACATATAAATAAACTACCCTCACTTGCTGAATATCTTTAAATTGACAAAATTTACCAATGTTCCCGAAATGCCTCACGTGATAGACCAAGGTACAAGCTAGCGAGGCTTCTTAAGTGAAGGGAGCTCTCAAGTTTCCTTGTGAGAAACTACCCTTTACTGTGTATCCAACTGGCAAAAAAACATCTCACCGGTGACAGATCAGTTGGAGTTTTAACTGCTCACATCTGACTGAAACAATGGATTTATCAACGGCTGAGGATTATTCTTTAAAATATAAGTACTGTGTCACAGCTCACTCCCATAGCTAACGATACAAATGTTAACAGCCAACAGAAGTCAAAAACTTAAAATTTGTTTCAAAAATTCAATCAATTAGGTTACATGACATTATTGGTGTGAGCTGCTTCAATTTACACTTTACACAACTTTCCAGTTGTACAGCTTCAGTGTTTGAGTTATATTTTTCTGAAATTGTGGCAATTTTATCATGTTTTAAGTTCATATTAGTTTGAATGTTAACAAATTGAAATAAGCTGCGAACACGTCAGACAATTTAGTCCTGTACAACCATACAATACAAACACCTCAAGTTCTTCAAGTATATAAAAAATATATTAAAAAAAAAAAAAAGCACAATTTCGGGATATCCTCATCCTCGGGATAAAAGTTTGGCAGTCTGGGTTGCTAGGGAATATGAGTGGCACGATGGGGTGTGATGATGTTGCCAAGAAGTATGTTGTAGGCTAGACCGTCTCAAATGCTCAGATGGAGGATCCATACTTTAAAGGACATGAAGGCTGCAGCCTCCGAAGGATGCCGCCTCTTAATTGGGACACGATTACAGCTACTAGTTTGACGGAACACAAAAGCCACATTTACTTAGCCACGTCCACATCAACTATGAATCATTTAAAGAAATGAAAACAAGCCAGAATGTTTTTCCTCGTACAGCAGAATGATAGTGTGGTGCAGCTACATTGTGTTGTACAGAATGGGAAAAATAAACAACTGCTACTCCCGTGGCACTCAATCTCATCTGTTTGCTGTGTGAGTGTCCAAGCTAGCCAGTTACAGATCGTCAGTAAAGTCAGTAGAGACTGAAATGCTGGCATTGGAGCATCTCTTCCCATTAACTGTAGCCCAGGAGACGATGCTAGAAAGTAATAAACAACTACCCCAACTTTTATTTTTCTGTAAAAAACGTCACGTCACTCATGATGTGTTAGCTACATTTCCAAGGCAGCAAACAGTGTAGCTAATTTCACAGCTTGTGAGTTGAGTGGAAGCTAACGTATTAGCATCTAAGCACGTTCTGCCTCAACATTATAACATAACTGGAGTCCAACTAATGCCAACAAACATGAACTGTTCAGGACACAGTTTGATTTGATTCTCCAAATCAAACTGTTTCACTCACTGCATTTACAAAAGATAAAACTTAAAGCTCACCTTTTCCACCAGATATGTTGAAAGTTTCCCCTAAAAGATAAGGACAGAAATGCTTTAATTTATCATTCGTAATTCACGTTACTGTTATGCATTAAAGGCAATATTCAGCTAAAGATGACAATTTGATATGCACAAAATGATTTTTAAAAATTCTGAATGGAGTTAAATTCACTGAAAAAGTGATTAGTAACAAATCTGCAGCATAAATTTCATAGACAGCTTGATAGAGCGGAAACAACTCCAGAGTCCAGAGACTACACATATTTTCTTTTTTTTCTTTTTTTATCTTTGATATTCCTAAATATGAAATTAAATTCATCATTAGTGATGAGTATATTTAGAACAGAGTACAGAATAGAACATGCTATACAAACTAGTTAGGTTGCAGCTCAAATATATAATTAAGCTATTTTCTACTCTCTCTCTGTCTCTCTCTCTCTCTCTCTCTCTATATATATATATATATATGTGTGTGTGTGTGTGTGTATATGTATATATATATATGTATGTATGTATGTATACACACACATACATACATACATATAATTGGCCATTATACTGAAAACAGAAAATCTGATGTCATTATTTTTTAAATTTGTAAAATCAGTCGGCCCCAAAAATCCTGTATCAGTTGAGCTCTGTGGTAATCATAATAACTTTTTCTTTCAAAACACATCAGTCGACCCCTGATATTCACAATAAACTTCATTGTACAGGGAAACACGTTTTCTTTACTGTGCATATGAAAATAAACACTTGATTAATTGATTGATTGATTGATTGATTGATTGATTGATTGATTGATTGATTGATTGATTGATTGATTGAAACATAGTGAAGGCTAAATGAAAACACTGTTTACTCAGTTGATCATCTTCAGCTCTGGTCCAACATTTCAATCAATATCCTTATAGCCACAGGGTTCAGCCATTTAACCTCAACAATGTTTCTAAAACACTATGAAAATTACTGATAACATTAGTTTAATTTTCACTTGTCTCTTGTCACATTAAAAGCCAGCAGTCTGTGTCCACATATGAGCTCAGAAAGTATCTAACTGCTTAATATTACAATGAAACTGAGAGTGAGAAATCTCTTTGATAATAATAATTCACAACTGTTTAACTGTCCTCGGTGCTCTGCTGCTGTCAGTTAGACTGGAAATAAAACTCATCTGCTTTCTTTATCTAATTTGTGCTCGAAGCTTCGAAAACACCGTGACGTTTAGAAGCTGTTCAGGCCTGAAGAAGTCAGTAAGTGAGTTAGTTAATTTAGTTAACTTAGTTAAGGGCTGCAGCTCCGTCAATTTAAACCGAAGTTTCTGTTGTTCGTGTGTCCAGCTGAACTTTTATTGTTCGTCTATTCTGGGTGTTCCAGTTTAACCAGTGTTCCAGGTTACTGGTGATGTTTGCTGTATTTACGCTCCAGATGTTCAGTTTACAGATTTGTCCCCACCAGACTTGTCTGTGTGTGACGATAAAGATACTACATACAGAAAACCTTGCCGAAAAACGTAAACATCAGTCTTTAATGAAGTCTATATCCATGTCAATATCAT